GCTATTTTGGCTTTTGGGTCCCCCCCCCTGGAAAAAATAGTCTTTCTTTTTTCTTTTTTTTTTTTTTTTTTTTTTAGCCCCCATTTTTTCTCTTTCTTTCTCCTTTCCACCCCTACCCTGAGATCCTTTAACGGACATTGCTTTTCTTCTTCCCTGAAGGAAACTTGGACCATTCAGATTTTATGTTGGTTTTTGCTGTGAAGTGCTGCGATAGTAACTGCCTTAGCAACTGTAGATGTCTTGGATAAAAGTCCTGGATTTTCCATTGGTTTTTCATAATGGGTGTTTATATGAAACTACTAAAGACTTTTTAAATGGCTTGATGTAGCAGTCATAGCAAGTTTGTAAATAGCATCTATGTTACACTCTCCTAGAGTATAAAATGTGAATGTTTTTGTAGGTAATTGTAATTGAAACTGGCTCATTCCAGTTTATTGATTTCACAATGAGGGTTAAATTGGCAAACATTCATATTTTTACTTCATTTTTAAACAACTGACTAATAGTTCTATATTTTCAAAGTATTTGGAGAAAAAAAGTAAAATATTCCCAAATTATATTAATTAAAAATATTGGCTTTGTCTCATGAAATAAACACAAAAAACTAGGATAAAAAACTAATGTTGATAAAGAGCAAACACATTTATTTTGTACTGCCTAAAAATGCTTCTTTTTTTTAAAGAAAATCACTTTATGTGTACTGGTTAGTAAACATCATTTAAGTCCTTTTATGTATAAAACTGCCAAACGCTTACCTGATATTTTATTAGATGCAGAAACAGATTGGAGACAGCTAAATTATAACCTTTACATATGGCTATGTATTATTGTTTCTTCATACTGTGTCTGTATTTAATCTTTTTTATGGAACCTGTTGCGCCTATTTATGAAATAATAAATATAGGTGTTTGTAAGTAAATTTGTTAGCATTTTAAAGAGGTTTCTTTGACGCTTTAACTTTTGCTGGCACAAATTGTTCACAATTGATGTGAATACTTTATTTAGTTTTTACAGTGACATATATAACACCGAACCTGCTTTACTGGCAGAAAATGAAGGTAACCAATACCTATTTCTGTATTTCTTTGGTTGTTAAGGAAAAAAAAAAAATGGTATTTTAAGTAATTCCCTTTTTAAAGCATTGTAGCAGGAAGTTGCCCAAAACTAAGTCTTGAACCAACAAAACTAGCTGAATAAAACTGCATAATGCTGCTTCTTGAAACTTTATCAGTTTTGGTTAATTAGTCAAGAAATAAAAATATTACCAACAGAAACATTACCAAATATGCTTCAGCCATTTTATTATACATCCAAAAGGTCCTACAGAGTTTTAGGAAGTATATCACAAATACATCCCACAGTGAAAGGTAAGTTCAATATCCACAGGGAAAGGGATAAAAAAAATCCAAAAGAAGGTATTTTGTCAATGTTCTGGATCAGGAATAGCTCTGAAAATGTATTTCTGGAGGATTTCATCTTGGATGCCTGTCCAATTAATGGAGAGTACCACTGATTTGTATTTCCTATGTGAAATAAAGAAAGCAACTCGGATAAAATGCACATTATTCAATGCCATTGATTTTTCTTTAAAAAAAAATCAGAAACAAAGGTATTCTTGCTTTGGAATGATTTCAGGAAATGTACAATCGGAATCACTTGGCATGTAATAACTAATAAATAATGCAGATCAGATGTGATTACTCAAATGACTGTAGCTGAGAGCTCTAATTTTCCTGTCTTGAAACTGTATGAGAACTCGTGATTAAATTCACAGTTTATTGTTTGTCTGTTTAGTACTTTAGAAATATACCAGCACTACTAATTACCCAATGTCTTCTATTTATTATATTATAGTAAACTACATTTTCCACTCATATTAATTCTAAAGCGAGAAGATAATTACTGGGGATGAGAAAAATCAGCTTTGATTTTGACAGGCAGTTTTCCTTTTTCTTTTACGGAAAAGAACTGTGTTATCTCCATTTCTTTTAGAGCAGGTGCGCAGTCACATAAAGTTGTTAATTTCAGTATCCAAGCAGAGTTCAAAATACAAGAAAACTTTAATGTAAATAAAAAAAAAATACATCATGAATAAAATACTTATTCTGTATGAACCTCTGGCTAGTTGGTGTCTCTTCATCTGTAAGAAGGGAACCCTGCAGTGTGTTTACCATGCAGCACCTTACCCATCCTGTGGTTTGAGTGTGGTTTTGTGTCCAGGCTCTGTTTGGATGGGACAGCTATACTGGAAGAGCAGCAGTTTTGGCCAGGGTTATACTGAAGCTACTTTGTCCCAAAGGAAAGATCCAACTTCGATGCATAAGTGTCAGTTCTTCATGTATGACCTTGGGAAAAAAGCAATGGTTGTCGGCCAAGGGCGATCTGCTATTTGTTTTCAGCTGCGTATTGACAGATAAAAATTGTCAATAGATGGAGCCTAGAAGGTTGAGATCCTTTTGTAAGCAGGTGAGGCTCCACTGGAGTTCATGAAGATTTGCCCCATCCTTCGCTGAAGCTCTGTGGCTTAGGCACCACAGAAACACATATACCCAAGTCCCTGGTTGTAAGTCACCATCTGTCATAATGATGATAATGGGAAAGCACACAAGAACAAAACAACCTACATATTAGAGCAACATAAATATATATTTACAGCAACTAAATACGATAAAGACATCTGTCAGAGTGATAGAAACCAAGGGAAATAATGTCTTCCATTAACTGAAATTAATTTTTTTTAATGATTTTTTTAAAACGGTAGGCAAAATGCAAGACTAGCAACACAGGCACTTGGAAAGATGTAAATCCCCTTTGCTTGCACCAAGGTAAGCAGAGGTTTTGAAAAGGAAAGGCTCTTTGAATTTACTGCTGCCCTCTGATTGCCCCGTTCCGGCGATGTGAGTCCCAGTCTCTCCATCACCAAACTCACAGAGGTTTGAGCAGAAACCCCATCCAGCTGCTGCCTCTGACCCAAAGAAGCTCTTTGAAGGGACTCGCTGTAGGATTTTTTCCCCCCACATTCATCCACAGGCAGTAAGTAATGAATGTATTCATGGAGGGCCCCAGCCATTCACAACGAAACCTAATGTATTCGTGCCCACTTCTCTCTCTCTCACCAAATACCCGTTCCTGATTGAAGTGGTGTCTGTGCCAAATATTCCCTGCGAGGCTCCTCTGTAAGCAGGAAACCCAACAGTAAAAGACCTCATTACCAGAAGGTAAAAGATGCTCTTACCACCTTCCTCAACCTTCTGAGACTTCATCTCAACCTGAACTACCATCTCCCAGACTGTATCTGATTATTTCTTACCTGATCCTGTAAACATGGCAGATCCACAGAGATCTCTTTCTGTGCTCTGGGGAAACGGAGTAGGTAAAAATCCTTATTTTGCACACACTGTGAGAAGCAGCTAAAGAGCTGTATGTAACCCATACAGGAGCTACTCCCCAGAACTCCCCTTGATATGTAGGTACGGATATAGATATAGATATAGATATAGATATAGATATAGATATAGATATAGATACAGGTATTGATACAGAGAGAGAGAGATACATACATACATACACACATAGATACATAGATAGATAGATATACAACCATTGCCCTGTTAATTATTTATCTAGTGTCTTCAAGCCCTTTTGCATTTAAATAAAATATTATTTAGTGAGTATAGCAGTGAGCGGGCAGTGCTGCAGGAGGTGCTGAGCACCTCGGAGAACACGAGGTGCTTTGTGTCAGGTCTCACAGACAGCATTTGCTTTCCTTTGCAGAGTCATGTATTTTATTATTACCCAGCAGCACATTAAATCACAACTCAAATGTAGTTCTTATTCCACTGACAAGAGGACAAGTGAGAACAATGACTTGTAACATTTCAGAGTCTGTCACAGTTACTGCCTAATTAGAGAAACCCACTAGCAAATGTGCATCTGCATGGATCCTGCGACTGTCATCATTTCACATTCTATTAAAGGCTTGCTGTTATAGACACTTTACAAAGAAATTTCATTCAGGCTAATACCAAGCTGGCAAACATGTAATTGGCTAGAAAATAAAATAGGAAAGAAAAAAAAAAAAAAAAAAAAAAAAAAAAGAGAGGAAGAGGAAAAGAAAAGGAAACCTTCCTATTTGGAAAACAAGCTGTGTGCAAAAATCCACAGTATACCGCGGAGAAGATCCTTACCCTCTGACAATTGTGTGTTTACAACGAGTCTGAGCATAATTGCTCTGATGAGCTGTCAAGGAAAAGATTAATTTGGCAAAGATTAGTATTGACTTGCTGTTTATTAAGGCTTTTAAACAGCTGTATCTGGCAACATTCCTGTAAGTGCCTGTCATGTCTGAAAATCAGGCTCACACCCGGGTGCTTGCCAGCTGTTGCTAAACAATCTTACCACTTTGAGTATCTTTCTCCAGGCCAAACAGCAAGAGCAAAGTATTGCCAAATGAGTCTCTCTCATCCTGTCACTTTTCAGGGGATCTGAGAGCTCAGATGTCAGTTGATGGCTCGATGGCTGGGCTGATAGCAGCTACCGGCAGCCGGCAGGGTGGTTAGAGAGGTGCTCCACCAACCTGTCCCCCATGCCGAGGGGAGCCTGCTGCTGTTAGTCACCTCACCAACGCAGAAAACCACAGCTTGCAACTGCTGTAATGCGAAGGGGTTTAAAACCCCTTAGTGCCCGCGATCAAAGTTTGGTAGGAGGCAGAACTCCA